TGTCTAATTTAGAAAGCACACTCTTAGGGCTTTTTCAGAACAAAGCCTCACAAAACCCCTTTACCTCCAAGGATTTGCAAATTTATAAAGGCTGCATTGAATTCAAGATGGGTCAGGGGGCAAAAAAAGGGTAGAAGGTCACTGCATTTTGATTATGGGTCAATAGACAACATGGCACATACTCTGTGTCCCAAACTTCTGTTAAAGACAGGATTTTTAAATGTCTGAGAACAGAAGGATGGGCCCATTGGGAGCCTTGCACTGGTATATTTGAGTGAGATTTTTAAAAAAAAGGAAGGAAGGAAGGAAAGAAAGAAAAAGGAGTTTAAAGAAAAAATCCTGTTATAGTTTATTCCTCATTTTACCTAATTCTTCTTCTCTTCCCATTTTCACCTCCCAAAAAGGAGAGAAGATGTGGTAACAGATAAGTTTAGCTAAAGAACTGTTTAGATTCTATTGTCCTATATCTTCAACTAATTCAGCCATGTAAGACTTTATTTAGACCTCATCTTATGATTATTGGTTAATGGTAGTTAACCATGTAAGAGACTTCTTTCGTTCTTCTAACCACTGTACTTACATTGTTGGGCCTTTTGTGACGTTCCTTATTCTCCGCTGTCTGGGTTCACTTTGAACCAAATGTAGCCAGCAATCACTAAAACAGTGTATATGGTGAAGGAGTAGATGGTGGTGGTGGTGGCCGTGGTGTGTGTGACCCTCATTTAAATTATGTATGTATGGGTGAGAGCTTGGATGAAAAAGGATTATTTTAATGCCCTTCAGTGCTTTAATTATATAACAGTTGTAGTGTAGAAATGCAAAAGTATTCTTAGGTTTTTCCTTCAGATTTTCAAAAGAACTTTCCCCATTAGTAAACTACTCCTGCAAATTGCTGTTGCATTTCCCAGCTACCCATTTAAAAGACTGTGAATGCCTTGTGCATTACTTCTTCGCTCCAGAGGAAAGAGGTCAGACTGAATTGCTATGGTATTTAAACATAAAATACGGTGAAAATAAATCAAAATAGAGCATCTGAAGGCGAATTTAGCACACTTATATGGGATAAGTAAAGACAAATATGTTCAGATCTTCATAGTCCATCACTTTAAAAACTGAAAGTGCTGATTTTTTTCTTACAATAAATACAGAACTAAGTGGACATTAAGAATACATTTGAAACTGTATTTGCTACAGAGGATTTTTCTTTAGCAAGCAGCTTTGTTTACAAAGCTAAAATACTTTTCAGGATAGTGTAGATTGCATTCCTACCTGGGTAAATGACCACATTTTATTGAAAAACCCAATGCATATCATATATATATATATGTGTGTGTGTGTGTGTGTGTGTGTGTGTGTGTGTGTGTGTGTATTCACAATTATTCCCTAGACTTACAGAGATGTCTATATAAATGTTCATTTGAACATATTCCCCCACATATGTACATGTTTGAGAAACATAGAAGCTGATATATCCTTTCTTTAAAGGAATTTGAATACAGTCCATCATCTGAATTGGGTTCATCTTTGATTGCAGAGGAGGCTGACATGGTCAACAAATTTATCAAAGAAACCCCCTGGCTTTTGAAGAATAGTACTTCCTACATCTGGATCTGCACATCCAGGCAAACTAAGTAAATTATTGCATAACTTTAAGCATAATTGATAACAGATACCTTTAATTTTTCATCCCTATTCTTTTGGCCAGCCTTCGCATTAACAATCTAAGCCATAAACGTTGGTAGCTATTGATCGAAATCCCCGGTGTGCATGCAAATCCATCTTACAGTCCCCTGCCTTTCATGTGGGAGCGCTCAGGGGCCTCTGCGAGGTCTTTCTATCGGGATCGACCCCCAATGTGCCTGGAGAAGACCCCGGATATGCAGCGTGTGCTGATGGCCACAGAAAGCTGCCTGTCACATTCTGTGTGTGTGCACAAGCCCCAGTGCTCCGTGCCGCAGCCTTAACACACTCACACTAGGATGGAAGTTACAGGGACAAAAGAATGTATTAGACAAAAAGAAAGATGTGTGATAGGAGTATTTCAAATGTGTAAGTGCAAAGGTATGTAAAGAGGCACTTTCTAAGTAGTACATATAGAGAGAACCCTCCCCCAAATCCCTTGTTCTTTACCTTTTTTCTAAATGAGCCCACAGATTACACCTTTAGTTTAAAAATAATACTCAATATTGTACTAATTTTCAAAAGCACCTATATTTCCAGTGTTTTAAAGGTGGAGAGAGAGGAAAGGAAGATAGGTTTGAAATGTTTAGTAAAGCATGCTCCTATGTGCAGGGGAAATTGAGAGAGGAGGGGGGAGAGAGAGTCTAAACAAGAATCAGGAACAACTAAAAGGACCTGCCCTCCACCCCCAAAAAAAAACCCGCTGTGGTCCACCTTTTTTTTTAATGTCTTCTTAAAGCCCACACACACCTTTTTTTTTTTTTTTTTTTTTTTAAGTGTACTATTTCTTAGCTGTTTGACTCTTAGATCTAAATCTTACAGCGGGAGGAGGGGAATGGGCGGGGGTGGGGTGGGAGGGAAGGGCTGGCAGTATATAAGTGCATCAGGAGGAATTTAACACTGTCGTTGGCAATAGAAAGGCTCTGGTCAGTTTGCTCTAAAACAACAAACACCATTTGCTTTTTCTGGAAACTTCGATTTCTGCTTAAAGCCTGTACAGTTTGCCTCCCATGAAAGTGAAAGAGAAAAACTCGGTGTGATAGACCCAGATGCAAAAGAAAGCCAAGTCGGTGGATGGTGTTAGCTGTGACGAGGCATTGTTCATTGCTGCCTCTCGGTTACGTTTAAAGCCTGAAATATCACGAGATCCATTCAGTGATCCTTCTCTCATTCAAGGGACAAAAATGTAATTTGCTGTAGCTCTGATTTCGTGGATGGAAATGCTAGACTTAGATTTCAAAGGCAAGAACTAGACATCGCGGTTTGTACACACATTGATTAAGTTGAAGAGCGGCGATTACATCTGTGCTGAGAGCAACAGTAGTCCAGGGAGGACTTTTCAAATCCCAGCCTCCTGAGTTACAGACTCTCTTAAATAGACTTCCTTAATTTCCGGATGTACTTCTTGAAATTCCCAATTCTCTTCAAATTCCTGGGAAAATTACAAGGAAGATCGGGATGGGGGTGGGGAACATGGCTGAGACTTCATCTTGTCAAGCAAACTACCTTTTTGTACGTCTAATTTCTGTTTGTTTGTCTGTTTTTTCTTAATTTTTTTTTCTTTTGTTTCTTGAGTCATACCTGCTTCTGCTGGCTAGACCTCAGCAGGGGAAACTGGAACTTTTGAATATGAAGAAAGAAATTATTGTGCATTTTTTTTCTTGCAGGTTCAGAAATATCCGTTCATTCTTTAACCTCACAGATGTGTCTATTTTGGGAGGAAGGAGGAAACATGTAGATTCCTGGGCTGCATTTATGCTGTAGTTGCAAACACGAAAGAAGATTTTGTCAAATTTTGTAAAGCAGCCAACCAGCTATCCTGAGATCCAGCAAAAGCAAGCGGAAGACTCTTCCTCTCACTTGGCTATATTTTGGATACCCTTGAAACTGGTAGTAAACCGTGCTTGTGCCTAAGAAGAGGTTAAACCACAATGATATTCATTCAAAGTGATTTTGTTAGAACAGATAGATGCCTGGCTTTCATGGAGAACCAAATGGGAGCAGTGGAAGATTCATCTAAACTACCAGCCAAACCATCATCAACCACTAATATGGCCTGCACCACACACTGGCCCTTTCTTTGCATTGTTTTTATGTAAAACTTCTGAACGCACCTTGAGGACTTTACCTTTTCTTCCCTTGGCTGCAGAAGGAAGTGACGTGCTCCCTGGAACCCTGACCTGTGGACTTCTCTGGCCAGAGCTTGTGCTGGACGCCCTAAAACGACCCCACCTCTAGTCCAGGCTGGGTAATCGTGAAAGGTGTACACATTTCTGGCTTATCTATGCTTTGTTATGGGTCTGACGAGAAACTACCTTCTCCCTACCCCACTCCTCAGCAGAGAAACGAAATCCAGTTGAATTGTTACACATTCCTGAGCTGGAGCCTTGAACTGCTGCTTTCTTGGTCAAATAACTTTGTTTCTGGTTGAAAAAGGACATTCTGGGGGGAGGAAACGAGAGAAATTGCCAACGTAAGTCTGCACTGGGGTGGGTCACCTCGCGGTTTAACTTTGGCGATCCCAGCCTGTCTCCTTCCCCACTCCCCTAAGGGAAATACCAAGCTATTCTGGCGCGTTTCCCTCAAAAGCTTCATTTTCCGAAGAAAAGAGGGGTGGGGGTATATCTATTTGGGCTTGATAATGTTTTTTAAATGCTTTCCTTTGAAACGATAATAGCTGTATCGGTAAAATGCAAATAAAGCAAAAAATAGGCAGTATTTCTTTAAAGGGGAATATACGGTGGCTTTTTTTTTTTTTTCGTACACACACTGCTTCTGATGAGGTCTGTGAGTCAGGCTGTTTCTGAGCTCCGATAGTTTAATGGAAAGATTTATATACCGTCTGTATTATTTACTTTGGGAGGGGGGTGGCACTATAAGGGTATGCTAATTAGTAGGAGATTTTGGGGGGAAGGGGTGGAATATCAATTTTTATTGCATCACCTGTCAGGAGTGTCCAATCAGCGCTGGCTTTAGGGGAATTAATTGATGAAGGTGTCTCCGGACGAGCTCACTTCACTCTGTCATTTTATTTGTAGCTAAAGCAGCGGCGGGAATAGCAGCTGCATTTCTTTTCTCTTTCTCCCTTCACATTCCATTATCATAGTGCTCCAATGGAGAAGGAAGGAGTACAGGGGCCCAGGTACTGATCCGCAGCGAGGACTCAGACCAACACACTGGCAGATCTGAAACCGGATGAGTTTTTTTTTTTTTCTCCTCTTTTTAAAAAAAACGAAAACAAACAAAAAAATACCAAAAAAAAGCAAGAATCAAGTCAGTGTAATTTCATGGGGTTTTTCTCCCCCCCCAATAATTCGCCTAGAGTTTGGCACTCCCTTCGCCGGGAATAACAGTCTTTGTTATTTTATTAGCAGGATGCCTTGAGACACACGCAGCATCTGGCGGAGGATTAACATACATACATGTGTATGTATGCGTCACGTATATATTTACTGCAAATGGTGGGGATCATTTAGTACCCGAGATGGGAGACCTGAAGTCAGGTTTCGAAGAGGTGGATGGCGTGAGGCTCGGCTACCTCATCATTAAAGGAAAGCAAATGTTTGCTCTCTCCCAAGTCTTCACAGATCTGCTGAAAAACATCCCGAGGACGACTGTGCACAAGCGCATGGATCATCTGAAAGTGAAAAAGCACCACTGCGACCTGGAGGAGTTGCGGAAACTCAAAGCAATCAACAGTATCGCCTTCCACGCGGCCAAATGCACGCTCATCTCCCGGGAAGACGTGGAAGCGCTCTACACCTCCTGCAAAACCGAGCGTGTGCTCAAGACCAAGCGCAGGAGGGTCGGGCAGGCCCTGGCCACAAAGGCGCCGCCGCCAGGGCGCGCCGCCGCCGCCAGCCCCCGCCCGGCTTTTTGGAAGGACAAGCACCAACTTTGGCGGGGCCTGAGCGGAGCCGCGCGGCCCCTGCCAATCAGCGCGCAGTCCCAGCGTCCGGGCGCCGCCGCCGCGCGCCCCGCCGCCCATCTACCTCAGATTTTTAGCAAGTACCCGGGCTCGCGCTACCCGGAGGTCGCGCGCTCGCCCTGCAAAGCCCCCCTGAACTATGAAACTGCCCCGCTGCAGGGGAACTACGTCGCCTTCCACTCGGACCCCGCTTACTTTCGGAGCCTGCTGTGCAGCAAGCACCCGGCCGCCGCCGCCGCCGCCGCTGCCGCCGCCGCCGCCGCCGCCGCCGCTGCCGCCTACTACCAGGCGTCGGCGGCCGGGCCCCAGCCCAAGGCGGCGGGCGGCGCGGGGAGCCTGCCCTACCGCTGCAAGCGCAAGCGCGGGCCCGCCAGGAGCTGCCTGCTCGCGCCCCACGCCGGCGCCCGCCGCCTGCTGCTGCTGCCCAGGTCCTACAAAGCCAAGGCGGCGGCGGCGGCGGCTGCGGCGGCGGCAGCGGCGGCGGCGGCCGCCGGGGCCACTTGCCTGGAGAGGTTTCATCTGGTCAACGGCTTCTGCCCGCCGCCCCACCACCACCACCACCACCATCACCACCACCACCACCACCACCACCGGGCCCAGCCGCCGACGCCGAGCCACCCACCCCCTCACCACCCCCGGCCGCAGCCTCATCTCGGAAGCTTTCCCGAGAGCTGCAGCAGCGACTCCGAGTCCAGCTCCTACTCCGACCATGCAGCCAACGACTCGGATTTTGGCTCCAGTTTGTCCAGCTCCAGCAACTCGGTGTCCTCAGAGGAAGAGGAGGAGGAAGGAGAGGAGGAGGAGGAGGAGGAGGAAGAGGGGGGCAGCGGGGCCTCGGATTCCAGTGAAAACAGCTCCGAGGAGGAGGACTCGTCCACCGAGTCGGACTCCAGCTCCGGCTCCAGCCAAGTGTCCGTGCAGAGCATCCGTTTCAGGCGCACCAGCTTCTGCAAGCCTCCCAGCGTGCAGGCGCAGGCCAACTTCTTGTACCATCTGGCCTCCGCCGCCGCTGCAACCAAACCCGCTGCTTTCGAGGGTGCCGGCGGACTTCCCGACCTCAAGAGTAGTGTCAAAGCCGAGTCGCCAGAGGAGTGGAATCTTCAGAGCTGGGCTCCCAAAGGGGCTCCGGTGTACTGCCCGGCCAGCGTGGGGAGTTGTTTCCCAGAGATAAGAAACGATAGGGTATCTGAGATTACATTCCCACACTCTGAAATTTCCAGTACTGTAAAGAGAACTGACCTGACAATTAACTGCCTGGCAGAGGGGGCCTCTTCACCTAGCCCAAAGACAAACAATGTATTTCCACAACAAAGAATACTCCGAGAGGCTAGGAGATGCCTACAAGCAACTCTCACTACACACTGTGCAGAAAACAGCACAATAGCTGCTAGGTTCTTCAATAATGATTCTTGTGGAAGAGCAGCAAATTCGGGAAAAGATTCCAAAATCCCTCTTTGTCCTGAATTTTCTATGGATTTGCCCTCTAAACAAACTGATCCCGAAGCGAATGCAGCAGCAGCAGCAGCAGCAGCAACTAAAGCTGAGAATCCCTGCACTGACACAGGCGACAAGACATTGCCATTTCTGCACAATATTAAAATAAAAGTAGAAGACAGTAGTGCTAATGAAGAATATGAGCCTGATCTTCTTACAGATAAGCTAAAGTGCGAGTGCAATGACACAAAGGGTGAGTTTTACAGGGTGGCCGAGAAGAAAGAGGAGGACGCCTTGTTACCCACAGCCAAGGAAGGCTTTGCATGCCCTGAGAAAGAAACTCCTTCCTTCAATCCGCTGGCTCAGAGTCAGGGCCTTTCATGCACTTTAGGATCTCCAAAACCTGAGGATGGGGAATATAAATTTGGTGCCAGGGTGAGAAAAAATTACCGGACACTAGTACTGGGCAAACGACCAGTCCTTCAGACACCTCCAGTCAAACCAAATTTGAAATCAGCTAGAAGCCCTCGTCCTACAGGTAAAACTGAGACACATGAAGGAACACTGGATGACTTTACAGTTTTAAACAGACGCAAAAAGGTAGCCAGCAATGTAGCATCAGCAGTGAAAAGGCCATTTAATTTCATGGCAAATTTTCCTTGTCCACCATCACTCATTCTTGGGAAGGATGGGGATCTGTGGCCTGCGTATTCCTTAAACACCACTAAGGACTCCCAACCTCCACACAAGGCCCATCCTGTATGGAAATGGCAGCTGGGCGGTTCTGCAATACCTCTTCCACCTAGTCACAAATTCAGGAAATTTAATTCATAAAAATGTTTTGGAAGCTATTTTCTTGAACCATATTACCTTCCTTTTGTTGTAACTGCACAGGATGGCTTGTACAAGTCCATTAATGGTGTTACACCCCTTTGGAGTCCTGGTTTATCGCATTTTGAAGACAGAAATCGGATTACTTTTTTTTTCCATTGTGGTTTTTTTTTTTTTAGGGTGGGGGTGGGGTGGGAGAAGGGTTGGTTTACATACCACAGACTACTTCAGGCTAAAGACTCAAGTAAAACCCAGTTATTCTGGTAGAGCTGGGACACTTTACTGTTTCAGTGCTAATGCATCGGTACCTCAGTTCAACTGCTACAAATAAATGTCAAAAGGTTGAATAATAAATATTACAATGAGCCATTAAGTTTATGCACTAGATTTCAGACCTGAAAGCGTAACTGGTATTCAGTGAAAGTTTGTTAGGTTACGTGGTTGCACAATGAGGTAGCAAGAAGTTCCTGTGAGCACAGTGTAATTTTCTGGAGCTCTTCTTTGTGGGGTGTCTCATTTTTCTACCCTCATTCTCTTTCCGAGGCTAGTTGCACTTAACTTTTTTTTTTTTTTAACAGAAAGATTGGGGTATGAGTCCTGATTGGATGCTGATTAAAAAGCTGCCTCTTGTGTGAGAAGTAAAAGAACTATGGGATTTTTTTTTAAGGATGGGTTTTTTTGGGGTTTTGTTTGTTTGTTTTGTTTTACCTTTGCGGTCACTCCTTCCAATTGGAAAAATCCTTTCTGTGCTCTCACCCAAACATTTTAGATAGGATGACGCTTGCCGTGGTCCTGCTTACCTTGTGGTCTGAAGATAACTCTTCAAGCTTTCAAAACAACTAAAATGTTCTCTTAAAGCAGGATATTTAATGGTATAACTCATCATAGTGACCAAACAGTAAACACAACCAAGAAAAAGAGGGGTGAGGGTTGTAACACCCCAACTGCAAAGTAACAGTTATTTCAGGGCTTTTTGGTACCAGAACTCAGGCACTTGGATTTTATTACCTTATGCTTTTTTTCTGCATCTCTCTAAACTTCTGTTTTCAAAAGGCCATCCTGTGTATAGAACAGGAGAGTTTCTACTGCAAGTGACAATCAGAGGTGACTATCTATATTTGCACTTAAAATCAAAGTAGTTCCACATGCAAATGGTCTACCCCTTGGTAAAGGCCAGGCTGGTGTACTGTGTTGTAACGATGAGAGCAGTAAATCAAAATTATGGAAATTTGCACTGTTGAAAAGCATGCTTTAGCTTTATTTTCAATTAAAAACACTGTTTAAAATTCCTGGTTCCATACATTTCTACTTATTCCAGATTGAAGAAGGGTTAACAAGAATGAATGGTTTTGTTGACATTTTCACTTGTAATGTTTTTGCCTGAAAGAAATGCATTTATTGGGTGCAGGGTTTTGTGGTAATACTTTGTGATGAGACCAATCAGGTTCTGGGGATAACACTGGCAGATTTCTTCTCAACAGAAAAACTTTTCAAACTCGTTACAGACAAACTACTAAAAGTTTTATATTTAAGAAAGTAAAGATCAGTTGTTATTTTAATGAAAGTTGAATCTAGTAAGTCTTGAGCCACCAAATTATGTATCTCAGATCCTTGTTATCTTTAGTCTAAGAAGTTGCATCTATAGACCATAAATCACAAAGCAAAACAAAACACTAATGAAATGTTTACTATGTGAATTTAAATCATTATTTCTCATGGAAATTCAGCTATTTATTTTTCTTAACCTTTTAATTCCTACTTCCTTTGAATTTTTCCCTTTGTCTATAAATGTTTCAGATAGTTCTGGATGGTCTCAGACCTAATTGCTGTGCATGATCTGTGGGTGTCCTCCTATTGGAAAGGACAGAGGTTGAGAATGCCCACATCCAAATACATTTGAATGAAGTAAACAGATGCTTTGAACTGCCTCCCATCCTTTCCTTCTTGAATGTTGCCAGATGCAGACTCACTGGATCACTTTTTTTTTTTTTTTAATTGGAATCATAGATATGGTCAAAGTAAAAATTTGGGGATGTAATCCTTGAATTGATGTTTGTATATAATTCCAAAGACTGGTCCATATTCTCAGTTAAAAGTCCCAGAAAGCTGAGCAACTGGCTTCTGAGCCTGAGTCCTTTCCTCTTTGGAAGGCAATGCAGACCGTGAGTTGTCTTAAAAAAAGAAAACAAAACAAAAACAAACAAACAAAACCACCAGTCTGTAAAAAGTGTGACACCCACACAGGGAAGTCTGTAATTTCTACTCTGTAATTAGTGCTAAGACAAGAAAGTTCAAGTACAGTGACTTCTCAGTTTAGTCCAGGACTTTCTATGTTGGCTACAGACTTAGCAAATTATAAATAATATATATTTGAGTGTGGGAAGACTGTAAGATGGAATAAACACAAAGTAGTACAAATACACCATAGACTTTTGGACAAAATATCAGTCTCTAGCTTGGCTACTTGGTCTTCATTCCTCAGAGAATCAATAGTTTCCGCTTATAGGAGCTGGGGAATGAGCAGTATGGAGGCCCAGGCATGCCAGAGTGATACCATCAAAAGGGAAGACATTGACTCAACATAGATTTTACCCCACACTGTTCCTACAGGCCATCAACCACAGCAAACCCTGAGCTGGGGCTTCTGTCAGTAAAGTGTACCAAATAGGAAGTCTTAGTGTGCAAATATAAGGTATTCTTTCAGTTCTTGGTAGCCCTCAGCTGGTTTTCCATCCTGCTGTGGAAATTATTCCCAGCACAGTTTATTTTATTTGGGTTGTTTTATGATTAAAGACAATTTCTAGGTCCTACTCAGCTGCTATAAATGTCACATTTGTTCAAAAGTTAAGCCTTACTGAGAGAGAAACAAAAGTTACCTCCATTGACAGATTGCATTTTTACATTTAAATGTTTTCAGGGAATAGGTTTGTTCTGTAAGTGTTATAAGGCTATAGGGCCAGTGATGCCTGTGTCTAAATTAGCTCAACAGACGTGAGGAAAGTATAGGAAAAGCTGCTTTCTCTGACTTTTGGCTGAAGCAAACTTATATCTGGTCTTCTATAAAAGTAATTTCCTGATAAGACTGTGAAGTGAAGATTTAATTATTTTTTTTAAGAGCTGTGTGTACTTTCTTTCCCAGTCAGGTTATCTGCCTTTATAAAAATACAGCCTGCTCCCCCTACCCCCTGGCTATTTAGTTTTTAGAGGGGTGTTCCTTCTGTTGCCTTACTTGATTACAGTGGAGTAATCTCAATAATGGTTGTTTATTTGAAAACCAACAACAAGGAGCCACCACTAAACAGCAATAACACAAACTAGATGGGCTGGTGTGTGGATTTTTTTTTAATCTTATTTGTGTCTGGGTGACTTCCAGTGGTCTAGAAATTCCTTAAAAGTTCTTAGCTAACAAGAAATGGGCTGGAAATTTCTACTGATATGAAAATGTTAGTTTTGTTTGCATACAGAAAGAGATGTAGGTGAAACTAATTCTTCGAAAGCATTTTTTTTTTCTTTCAAAGAAAACAAAAATACTGCACGGTGAAAATTTTCTAAAAAACAATAAAACATCAGCACCTATTAAAAGAAAGAAATGTGAGTTTTGCTTCACCTTGAAAACATCTTCATGCTGGAAAGGATATGTGGAGGGAGGGTTTTCCCAGGACCAAAATAGGAAGGGAAAAAAAAAAAAAAAATCAAGGCCTCCTATCAGCTAAATTGGCCAGGAGAACCAGGCATCTGCCTTTCAGAGTGCTCCCTTTCACCCGAGTCATCCCGAGGATTCTCCCTTTTCTCTGCTAGAACAACTACTTTCCCTCTGGCTTTGGTTAAGGTTTGCTCCCTAGGCCAAAGGGCATTTTGCAAACCAGCCTGGGGGTTGGGTGCGTAGGCCCTAACCAGGAGGTTGGGGGAGGGCCGCACTTTACCTGTTTGGCAGGCCCTCTTTTGCTTTAAAGAACGGAGTGGGGGAGGCAGCTATCAGTCTTTGCCCAGGCTTTAGGCCCCCGCTACTCTCGCTCCTTTTCAAACTGTGGCGGCCTCACAAGCTCCTGCTTTAAAAGGCCTGAGATGTTTTGCATGAAGCCCTCACAATAGGGGTTGAGGGAATTGACAGTTTCAAAAACAAGGCCTTCAGTCCTTTCCAGCTGCCGGCCCGCTCTCCCGCACCAACTCCTGGTTCCCCTCTGCTGGTGGCGTCCTCGGCAGCGCGCGGCCTCCCCCCCCCAGCCCTGCAGCCCGCGCTCAGGCCGCCCCCACCCCGCCCCCAGGCTGTGTTTGTAAACAAGGGTCAGTGGCCAGGGGCTGCTGGCGCGGGCTCCAGGCCTAGCGGCCTGGGAGGGGAGTTTAGGGGCTGTGGAGCCCGCCAAGGGCTGCAGGCAAAGGGCTGAGGGCGTTCCCAAGGCTGCTTCCCCCAGCCACCGAGCTCGGGGGGACTGCACTGACCCGGAGCCCCTCTGGGTTCTCTGACCAGGGCCACCATCACCACCAGAAAGATGTTGAAGTGCCGCCATTTTGCATGGTGGCAAACAAATTTCTTTGTGACTTTTTTTCCCCCCGCCCAGATCTTGCTCTCCTCTGAACGGGTGACGATTTCGCTCCTCCAGGAAGAAGAGACTGCATCCCAGCTCGTCCAGCGCGGCCTGCAGTCCAAGCGGCCATAAGGCCGAGAGCAGAGGGCAGCTGGGCACGCCGGCCGCCTAGGGCCTCCTCCCCGTCAAAGACTGGAATGCTTCCCCTCAGTCTGCACTTCTTTTGTGTATCCTGAAGTCTTCGCCCGTCCCTGCACTTGCTGCCCTGTATTCCTCACGTTCTTGCCCAGGCCTCATCCCTCCTCCCCAGGCAAAAGGGACCCAGCTCTTTGCGTTGCTCAGCGGACTCCAAGGCATCCAAATACGCTTGTGGGAAGCGAGTGGCAAAGGGACTGGGCCAGCATGGCTGCGGTCTCCTGGGAAGTGGCTCAGGAGCAGAGGCCTAGCGAGCGGGGAGGGAGTGGGCACGCTAGCCAGGCCCGGAGCAACTGCTGGAGTGGCAGTACCCGAGGGCAAGGCTGGCTTGCTTTGGCGCGGTGGTTCCCATCCCTGGAACTGCTTTCAGTGCATCTGCAAGTGGAAAGATGACCTGGAAACGGGAAACGGGAGACAGTGACCTGGAAAAACAC